TTTTATGAATGTTAAGTAAATGTTATATATCAAATTATACAATAGAATCTGCTGTTTCAGACACATTTCGTCGTTTAACATCTAACAAATTATATGAAACCTAAAACTTAAATGCTGTTGATTTTTCTACCTCATGTTTTTTTGTTTTTTCCACAGAGACTGGTTGATGATTCACTACTGAACATCCATTGTCATTAATGTCAGGACAGATCATGTGGCAGACAATGACACAACAAAACCACTAGATATTAATATTTACAGGCCAATCATTTGGGAGGCACACCCATTGCTACAGTCTTGTTATCTCAACTGACTTTTTCGAGAAAGCCAAGGAACATTATTGTAATCACCTGACCGTGTCACTCCTCTAAATCCAACAGATAACTTAAGATAAAAAGTAGTAAAACTAAATATGTGTCGCATTTATTTGGATTAGCTGCTTTAAGGATTAAAAAGGTGGTTGAAGAATAAGGACATAATGCATATAAAAATGACTGATTTTTCTACATTCTTTGTGAAAAACACATTTTCTAAAACGCTTTACGAACTGGATATGCAATAAATCTTTGAAAACCCTCAAGATGGGAGGCTCCTCACTGTTGAACTCAACCACTTCCTGATTTTCCTCAAAGTAGGTTAATGGTCTTGAATTTACTGCGCGTTATTTTTTTTTATTACACTTCAATTATTTATTGAAAATGCAATTATTACATATTTGGATCCTTTGAACCAAAAAGAAATATAAAAAAGAACCAATAGAGAATTCCAGAATGTTCAAGCGATGAAGTGAAATCAGAAGAATCAACGTGTGCAGAATGCAATTACTCTCCCTACTGGTCATTGTTGATATTCTGCACAATGCCACTGCACAAATGTAATAATAATGATAAATAAATAAACACAATAAAATACATTTATTAATATGATAACAACACTGGACGATGGAAATATTTCAGATGAATATACAGTATGACAGTTTTTATCTCAGTAACTATATGGATTTTAAGTAAAAATAAATAAATAAATAAATAAAATGCACTAATGCCTCTTTTCTCCAATAGTGGTTTTATATGTTGATTTCACTGTTCTCTCTTAAAGATTTTTTTTTTTTTTTTCGAATTCTGTCCAAAACATTATCATATTTTTGTAATAGCATGGATGCTCAATCAAAACTTGAATATATTCAGGCAAGAACAAAAAAAATCTAGATCTTAACAGTAAATCTGCAACTGTTAAAAGGTATTTTTCATAAATGTTAAGTCAGGTCAGATTGTCAAGTAATTTATATGTTGTTTTTTATGCAATTTTTTATATATTTTTATACACTTTCTGTTGGCCAAAACAGTGCCTAGATAGATAGATAGATAGATAGATAGATAGATAGATAGATAGAGAGATAGATAGATAGATAGAGAGATAGATAGATAGATAGAGAGATAGATAGATAGATAGAGAGATAGATAGATAGATAGAGAGATAGATAGATAGATAGAGAGATAGATAGATAGATAGAGAGATAGATAGATAGATAGAGAGATAGATAGATAGATAGAGAGATAGATAGATAGATAGAGAGATAGATAGATAGATAGAGAGATAGATAGATAGATAGAGAGATAGATAGATAGATAGAGAGATAGATAGATAGATAGAGAGATAGATAGATAGATAGAGAGATAGATAGATAGATAGAGAGATAGATAGATAGATAGAGAGATAGATAGATAGATAGAGAGATAGATAGATAGATAGAGAGATAGATAGATAGATAGAGAGATAGATAGATAGATAGAGAGATAGATAGATAGATAGAGAGATAGATAGATAGATAGAGAGATAGATAGATAGATAGAGAGATAGATAGATAGATAGAGAGATAGATAGATAGATAGAGAGATAGATAGATAGATAGAGAGATAGATAGATAGATAGAGAGATAGATAGATAGATAGAGAGATAGATAGATAGATAGAGAGATAGATAGATAGATAGAGAGATAGATAGATAGATAGAGAGATAGATAGATAGATAGAGAGATAGATAGATAGATAGAGAGATAGATAGATAGATAGAGAGATAGATAGATAGATAGAGAGATAGATAGATAGATAGAGAGATAGATAGATAGATAGAGAGATAGATAGATAGATAGAGAGATAGATAGATAGATAGAGAGATAGATAGATAGATAGAGAGATAGATAGATAGATAGAGAGATAGATAGATAGATAGAGAGATAGATAGATAGATAGAGAGATAGATAGATAGATAGAGAGATAGATAGATAGATAGAGAGATAGATAGATAGATAGAGAGATAGATAGATAGATAGAGAGATAGATAGATAGATAGAGAGATAGATAGATAGATAGAGAGATAGATAGATAGATAGAGAGATAGATAGATAGATAGAGAGATAGATAGATAGATAGAGAGATAGATAGATAGATAGAGAGATAGATAGATAGATAGAGAGATAGATAGATAGATAGAGAGATAGATAGATAGATAGAGAGATAGATAGATAGATAGAGAGATAGATAGATAGATAGAGAGATAGATAGATAGATAGAGAGATAGATAGATAGATAGAGAGATAGATAGATAGATAGAGAGATAGATAGATAGATAGAGAGATAGATAGATAGATAGAGAGATAGATAGATAGATAGAGAGATAGATAGATAGATAGAGAGATAGATAGATAGATAGAGAGATAGATAGATAGATAGAGAGATAGATAGATAGATAGAGAGATAGATAGATAGATAGAGAGATAGATAGATAGATAGAGAGATAGATAGATAGATAGAGAGATAGATAGATAGATAGAGAGATAGATAGATAGATAGAGAGATAGATAGATAGATAGAGAGATAGATAGATAGATAGAGAGATAGATAGATAGATAGAGAGATAGATAGATAGATAGAGAGATAGATAGATAGATAGAGAGATAGATAGATAGATAGAGAGATAGATAGATAGATAGAGAGATAGATAGATAGATAGAGAGATAGATAGATAGATAGAGAGATAGATAGATAGATAGAGAGATAGATAGATAGATAGAGAGATAGATAGATAGATAGAGAGATAGATAGATAGATAGAGAGATAGATAGATAGATAGAGAGATAGATAGATAGATAGAGAGATAGATAGATAGATAGAGAGATAGATAGATAGATAGAGAGATAGATAGATAGATAGAGAGATAGATAGATAGATAGAGAGATAGATAGATAGATAGAGAGATAGATAGATAGATAGAGAGATAGATAGATAGATAGAGAGATAGATAGATAGATAGAGAGATAGATAGATAGATAGAGAGATAGATAGATAGATAGAGAGATAGATAGATAGATAGAGAGATAGATAGATAGATAGAGAGATAGATAGATAGATAGAGAGATAGATAGATAGATAGAGAGATAGATAGATAGATAGAGAGATAGATAGATAGATAGAGAGATAGATAGATAGATAGAGAGATAGATAGATAGATAGAGAGATAGATAGATAGATAGAGAGATAGATAGATAGATAGAGAGATAGATAGATAGATAGAGAGATAGATAGATAGATAGAGAGATAGATAGATAGATAGAGAGATAGATAGATAGATAGAGAGATAGATAGATAGATAGAGAGATAGATAGATAGATAGAGAGATAGATAGATAGATAGAGAGATAGATAGATAGATAGAGAGATAGATAGATAGATAGAGAGATAGATAGATAGATAGAGAGATAGATAGATAGATAGAGAGATAGATAGATAGATAGAGAGATAGATAGATAGATAGAGAGATAGATAGATAGATAGAGAGATAGATAGATAGATAGAGAGATAGATAGATAGATAGAGAGATAGATAGATAGATAGAGAGATAGATAGATAGATAGAGAGATAGATAGATAGATAGAGAGATAGATAGATAGATAGAGAGATAGATAGATAGATAGAGAGATAGATAGATAGATAGAGAGATAGATAGATAGATAGAGAGATAGATAGATAGATAGAGAGATAGATAGATAGATAGAGAGATAGATAGATAGATAGAGAGATAGATAGATAGATAGAGAGATAGATAGATAGATAGAGAGATAGATAGATAGATAGAGAGATAGATAGATAGATAGAGAGATAGATAGATAGATAGAGAGATAGATAGATAGATAGAGAGATAGATAGATAGATAGAGAGATAGATAGATAGATAGAGAGATAGATAGATAGATAGAGAGATAGATAGATAGATAGAGAGATAGATAGATAGATAGAGAGATAGATAGATAGATAGAGAGATAGATAGATAGATAGAGAGATAGATAGATAGATAGAGAGATAGATAGATAGATAGAGAGATAGATAGATAGATAGAGAGATAGATAGATAGATAGAGAGATAGATAGATAGATAGAGAGATAGATAGATAGATAGAGAGATAGATAGATAGATAGAGAGATAGATAGATAGATAGAGAGATAGATAGATAGATAGAGAGATAGATAGATAGATAGAGAGATAGATAGATAGATAGAGAGATAGATAGATAGATAGAGAGATAGATAGATAGATAGAGAGATAGATAGATAGATAGATAGATAGATAGATTAAAAAAAAAAAAAGGTAACATACAAAAAGGCAGCGAAATTGTTTTACTGATAAATAATGTATCTAATGGCAGGTTCTCACTGTGATTTAACTTACCCCATATAGTTATATTTATTATTTTTTTATGTGGGCAATGATAGTGGAAACCTTTAAATGTTTTTTTTTCTTTCTTTTGTAGACAAGACTGAAACAGATTTTCGGAAATAAACTTACTCTGACTAGTATTTACGTTAAAAGTGAATAGAAAAATAGTTTTGACGTTAGGCGGAAAGTATGTTGAAAATAAAAGGGTCAGTGTACTTACGCCACTGCACTAGTTTGAACGTAGTAAGCCTTATTCACCATCCTTTTTACGCGACATGCCTGTTGCGCTCGTTTCCCAGCATGCATCGCGAATTTATATAGCCATCTTGTCGGGAAGTGAAATTTTTAGATTTTCTGTTACCGAAGTCTGCAAGTTAGTTGGCTATAAACTTTAATGTCAAACCGTTTTCGTAGTTGTTTTGTTAGTACGCCCGAATCTAGTCGCCGGGTGTCGTGACGTTTTAGGCGGTGTTTCTCAGCGCTCGTTCAGGATGTGTTTGGTACTTATATGTAGGTAGAGAAGCGAGAGGCAGCAGGGGGAGTGAACGCAGCCGAATCTACGACAGCGGCCTTACCGAGCTCTGATCACCAGCATATGAGGATAAATTAATAACCGACATCTCGCACACACCGCTCGCGGAGGTTGTTTTCGTCCGCTGTTCACGCGTCGAAAATGCAACAGGAGAGAAGAGGAAGACGGATAACGCACGACCGTCGCGGAAAACTGTGAAATTTGGGGTCCGGTGCCGCAACAATTTGCTGTTTTGTGAAGTGAGCAGCGTCTTTAAGTTGTCTTGGTGTCATTAAAAGCTGTTAAGCATGTCTAAGATGCCGGCTAAGAAGAAGAGTTGCTTTCAGATCACGAGTGTGACTCAGGCTCAAGTCGCGGCCAACAACGCGACCGACGACACCGAGAGCCAGGATGACCCGGATGAGACCCGGACAGAGGACGTGTCCTCCGAGATATTTGACAGGTCCAGGACTGACTATGGGCCTGAGGTATGTGACAGGAGCTCCTCAGAGGAGACTTTGAATAATGTGGGTGAATCAGAGGGGCAGTTGCCCGCTGCCGCCCCTCTGAACGGCGGGTTTAGCCCACGCAACCAGGGTCACCAGGGCATCCAGGCCTCTAGTACTCAAGCAGCGGGTACGACTCAGCCTGCGCAAGTCATCAGTTCATCAAGCGCGACGACTGTAACCAGCTGCAGTTCTCGCTTTAGGGTCATTAAGCTTGACCACGGCACCGGAGAGCCTTTCAGGAGGGGCCGGTGGACCTGTATGGAGTATTACGAGAAGGACCCTGAGGGCTCTGTGATGAGCAGGACTGTGGATCGTATAAGGCACACCAATGTGACAGAGCCTGGAGCGGATAGAGACAGTGGGCTCGGGGCCACCGTCGGGTCAGTTATGGCTCAGGTGGCGCTTGATGTAAGTTCCGACGGGTCATCTTTCACCGGCCCGCCGCATAATCTAGAACTGCACACGCACAGCTTCAGTGTGGCCCTGCAGCAGGTCACGTCGGGGTCTGGGTCACCAGAGTCCTTTAGTAATAAGCCAGTTCCGGGCAGCTCTCATGTCGCTATCCCTCACGGTCTCCACGATGGAGGACACCCTGGCACCCACCTTCAGAAATCTCCCAGCATCCCTCCTCCTCAAGTGCAGCCGCTGCTTTATCAACCCCAGCCTATTACGCACCAACTGCAAAGCCAGCCAGCTCTGATATCAACAAGTCAGCCTGATTACGGCCTGCACAACATGCCGATTACAGTCACCCAGACTCTCCCTGGGGTGAGCCTTTCCGTCGGACATGCCTTCAGTCAGGGGTCGTCCCCCCTTCCGACCCTGGCCACAGGAGTGGTGCAAGTCCTGGGTACAGTAGAAATGTCTGGAGTCCCTGGAGGTGTTCCCTTAGGGAGCCAGCCGGTGCCATCTGTCCCAAATCTGGTGCAGCATCCTGCGGTGGGGCTGTTGAGCAGCATCGTCCCTATGGCGTCCATTCAGCAGCAAACGGTGGCACAATACCAGGCCTCAGGAGTAATGCATGGTTTATCGACAACTCCGCAAAGCACTCCGAGCTTGCCCGTAGCAGTTGGTGGCATGCCGGCCTCAAGTGTGCCAGAATCTGCTACAGTACCCAATACTTCTGCACACAGCCATGCATCCCAGGTTCCCCGCAATGGGGTGGCAGCGGGCATGGGCACCAGCGTCTTCAGTCAGACGGATGAGAGTCGGAGGATGTCTGATGCGTCTGCGCAGGTTCACAGTAAAGACATGGTCAAGCCCTTAATCACAGAAGGCCTGCAGTTGCCCAACCCGGTTGTCAACAGTCTTTTCGGAATACCCATTCCCATTGATGGGGAGGAGGACAGGTGAGGTGCCATTGATGCTATGAATGATTTAAGGGATTTGATTGCCTGAACTTTCACTCTCATGCAGGGTTCCCATGGTCATGGAAGACCTGGAAATATCAAGGAATTTTAAAACGGGTTTTCAGGCATAGAAAACTCATTGAAATTATTATTTAGTGGATTTTTTTAAGGTACGCTCAATATTTATTAACTAGAATTTGATCTGTGTGAGTGTCATCCCTATAAAATAAATAAGTTAATTAATTTACTAGTAATCATGATGGAATTTGGTCAAAAGGTGTGGGAGCCCTGCTGTTCTTTTGTCTTGATTTAGTTTAGTTCCAGACTATTTTTTTTTAAAGCATACACATAGGCTCAGGTAAGATTTCAAGGATTGTTTTTATTAATTGGAATATTTAATGGGAGAAGTGTCAGCAAATGTAGATGAACAGAAATGTAGCATGGAGTTTAAATCGTGCTATAAGATTCAGTGGCTTAATAGTCATTTACTGCTTCATCGTGGTGATTTTCCACAAAGTGTTCTTTGCATTAATGTGCAGATCTGTGTGCATGCCTGCTGTGGTTGTTTTGTGAGGAATGCAGTGGCATGTGATGAATGTTTGGTTGTTCTCGTTAGGGTCGTGACATTTCTTGCTATTTCATTACCAGTCAAATGTTTGGACACACCCACACTTTTTTACTCTTTATTTTTACATTTTAGTATAAGTAAAGCCATTAAAACAATGGAATTATGAGAGTTATTTAATGAACAGAAATGTTAAACACACTAAACCGCATATAATGTGGTTTCCTGCTTTGTTAATTTTCTTAACCAACTTCATGCTATTAAAATAATATGAAATACACAAATGCGAATCCAAAAACAAATTTAATGTGTGTCCAGACCTTTTGACTGGTGAGGTACCAAGTCTTGTGATGCACTTGTCAAGTTTTCCTCAAAAATGGATTAGTTATGTAGGATTTTTATTTATTGGTAATGAAGTCAGTTATTTAGTTCAATATATACTACTGTTCAAATGTTTGGGGTCTGTAAGTTTTTTTAAATTTTTTAAAATGTTCTTGAAAAAGTCTCCTGCTCACCAAGGCTGCATTTATTTGATCAAAAATACAGTAACAGTAATATTGTGGAATATTATTACAATTTAAAATAACTGTTTTCTATTTAAATATCATTTAAAATGTAATTTATTCCTGTGATTTAAAGCTGAATTTTCAGTATACACAAATGTGTTATTCCAGTCTTCAGTGTCACATGATCCTTCAGAAATCATTCTAATATACTGATTTGCTGCTCAAGAAACATTTCATATTAATATTGAAAACTGTTGTGCCATCTCATAGTTTTTGAAGAAAATGTGATACTTTTTTTCCTGATTCTTTGATGAATAAAAAGTAAAAAAAAAATGATTTGAAACATTGTAACATTGTAAATAGCGTTGTCACTTTTGATCAATTTAATGCATCCTTGCTGAAAAATAATTTCTTAAAAAAATATAAAAAGTAAATAAATATTACTAACCCCACATTTTTTAAAAGTAGTTGTTTTTAATGTGGAGTGAGATTATTTTTTTGTTTTTTTTGTTTTTAAAAGATATGGTTATATGTACTGCTATGACAATCTGTCAGAACCCTAAAAACAAGCATGCAAACAAAAATGCTTCTTGTTTGTTTCCGGATGTTACAAGAATGCCAGAAAAGACCGTAACTATAAAATGCTTTCGCAATTGAATAGCGACAGTGCATATCTGGTGACAGTTTCAGTTGAGAAGTGTCGCTGCTTGGCTTCCTCTTAGATGCTCGATTTTCAGTTCCAGCGTTGCAAGTTGTACACAATATATCAGCTTGTTGCCATGTTCGAGAGGAAATGGTGAACTGTCAAGTGCTTCAGATCACTCTGTGGCTTTAACTTGGTGCTAGTCAAAGTACAGACTGAGCAGGCAGTGGTCGTAAACTCGAGGCCTGGATCTCAGTGCGATTCCGCCTACATGCCAGATTCAGTCACCCGGCCCGGGGTGAGACGCTTGTCACTGGTGACACCTTTTGTAGCTGATATGCAAGGGGGGCCTGTGATAGTGAAGGCCTGTCACGTAGCAAACAGTAGACCTTCCCCTATCTTTTACCTCTAGAGATAAGGTTGCTCCACTATGTGGTTAAAACATTTTTTTTTTCCATTTATTTTTTTCTTTATTGCTCTTTCAAAAGACAGAGACAGCCATCACACCCCATTTATGACTCTAAAGACATAGTTTTCACATTATGCATCTTTATGTATAGGGGCATGAGCGTTCTTGGTCATCTGACAGGCAGTTGTTCAGATAACGTGTTGAGTGATTTCCTCAAGACAGCATTCCTGTTCAGGAATTACTGAAATATGCCATGCATCTGCCTTTGTTCCGCCACAAGTGCCATGAAAGTATTTAAAAATTGTTCACCTAGCAATTGTGGTTGCTTTGTTTATTTTGTTGCACAGTGCAGCTAGATTTATTTGTATATATGGTTTGGTACACCTCATAAATTTTTAATCAGTGCAAGTGTGCATTAATGTCTGTAGCACAGTTTTTTTTCTCATGACTGTTTTTTTTTTTAATATTGTAATTATATAAATTAATATTAATTTAAATATTGTTTGAGTTTAAACATTCGGGGTTTTTTAAATCAAAATGAAATATAAATACAAATTGCACTACTGTTCAAACGTTTGTGGTCAATAATTAAAAGAAAACTTTTATTTAGCAAGCAAACATTAAATTGATCAAAAGATTGATTTATAATTTTTTTTTTATATATATTAGAATGATTTCTGAAGGGTCATGTGACTGAAGACTGGAGTAATGATGCTGAAAATTCAGCTTTGATCACAGAAAAAAAAAAAAAATAATGTATTCCCATTATTATGAGATTAATTGCCGCAATACAATGCCGTGATTCAGTAATATAACTGTACTACAAATAAAAAATTACTGTCGTTTTTTTTATTTTATTTTATTTTTTAACATTGTTGTGATTTGGTAATGAGAATGGAAGAAAGAAACGTACTTAATATCCATTAAAATGTCACAATGCAAACATGTTAATGTTTCTAACATTTTGAAAAAAAAGTAATATAATTATTATTATTATTTAAAAATGAAATATGACCGACGTGTTGCGTGAAATCCACTCAATTAGCTCAACTAAAAAAACACTGATTGCATCACACTGTCATTCACAACAAAGGCCAGGTCCAAGTCCTGCAAAGTAACAGTTAATAATTACTTTGTGCCATATGATGTATTTTGACATTCTAAGTTTTAGGATTACGAGTCTTAACATCTGAAAGTGTTTTAGATGAATTCGCTCATTGTACAACATGAGGTCAGATTTTGCCCCATCTGCTGGTAAGAATGTGTAACTGCTTCTGTTTTTGCCCTTTTTTGAGATATGATTATGTATGCTGGCATAACATCCCCTGACAGATATGCAAGACTGCCCTATAGAGTATGAAGATTAGCCAAGGAAGAAAGTTAAAGCCGACATTACCTTTAGGACATTCAGGACTAGCTTAGATTTATTTGTTGATTAAAACAATTGTTTTAGTCGTATGTAAGTGTCATACAGTGTAGTGTCATACATTGATTCATGTATCAATCTCTCAACACCAGCGCAGGTCAGAATGAACCTTCTCACCCAATCTGTCTTTCTCTCTCTCTCTCTCTCTCTCTCTCTCTCTCTCTCTCTCTCTCTAATGCCTCTCATTGCTCTCATACCTAAAAGCTCTTAGTATTAGGCAAGAATTCACTCTTTCTTATAAAACATGCTTCTCTCAACACCTCCGTCCCAGGTAATACCGCTGACTTCAGCTGACGGTAAAGCAGTACACGAGCTGTCAGAGTCTTCAGAACACACTTTTCAGGTACTTCCTGTGGGGGAACTTCTGTAGGCCTTCGCTCTTGTAGAGTTCTGTGTTGTCATGATCTTTCCGATCTCAGTTTTGTCTTAAGAATAAAAGCTATTTATTTTGTGTTGTGTAAGTGGCAGCAGGGGAAAAAAAGCAGGGAATTTATTTCACACTCATAAGTGACTGATTTGGAACGCTCTGCGTAGACAGGAGCCCCATGTATTATACAAATAGCAGCCCTAATGTGAAGTGCACTAATTGATTCTGATAGAGTTTGTTGCTAAGCTGACGTCACAATATTCTAAGCATAAAAAATACACAGCACACAAATTTTGAGTGAATTTTATACTTTTTTATTGGGATGGATCAATACCACTTTTTCCTTTTCCCATCCGCTACACAGATACCGATATTGCAACCCTGAGTTATATATAAAATTAACTTAGATGTATCCTTCGCTGCCTTTGATATCCCACAATCCTGTGCGCTCCATTCCGTGATGGTTGAGCTAAAAAAAACTCAGAAACTTGAAAGGTCCTCATGGCAGCCCGTCAAAATCAAAGTTTGGTTTAACTTGAAGAAATTGTCAGAAGTATGTTACTGTGGTGTAGTAGAATATACATAATACTACTACTACTAAAATTAAAACTTTATTTTTTTTTAAGAATAATCACACAATAGACTATTTAATCCATGTTTTAATTTCAATAGTAAACCCCTTTATTTGCCAAACTTTCATTTGATTAAAAAATAAATTAATATTTTATTCCTACATTTGATAAGAAAAATTAAAATTCTCAACAGAATTTCTGAAAAAAAAAACATTCATAGGACTATTGTAAAAATAAATTTTAATAAATGAAGTTGTTTTAATGCAATAAAAACAATAAAACGCATTTCATAGGCCCTTAAAAATGTCATTTTTTTGTTAAACTTTTAATAAATTGATGTTAAATTGTATAAGTTTCATGATTTTAATTGATTAGGCATGTTTTTGATTAACAACAAATTAATTTAACCATTAAAAATAAAAACGGAAAAAACTTGGGAAATTTGGGAAAAAATAAAACTGATTTCTTAGGGCCCTAGCTTAACAGTATGACTGCACGATATTGGAAAAACT